AATAAATTTTGAAAGACATAGTGTTTTTCCATGTTATGATTAAATATTTTGATAATAATGTGTAGTAAAGTCTTTAAAAATTTTAGAAACTATAAAGACAGTAGAATAAGTCAAAATATTGCAAATCTGTTTTGTAGACTACTGAACCTAAATTTGCCAAGGCTGGCTGGTTTGGGGATTCTGTTTACTTCTAACATCCCATAAGAATGTTGTGCCTTGGTGTCAGAGCCCTTTAGCTTGGACCCTGTCAAATTCAGTCCATATACAAGGGGAAGCTGGTGAGTCCCCACCAGGTCTGCTCTACATGGATCAAGTCAGATGATCTTTAACATGAGCATCCATGGAAAGGAAAATGAATGCTTGAGAAGCTACTGATATTTACACAGCTTAATACAAAATTGTGACAAAGGTGTTAACATAGTATTTAAATATTCAAATATTATAGATAATCTGATTTTATAAAACTGAAGGCATAAAATAAATACTTAGGGATTTATTCTTAAAGAGATAAAAACCATAAGAGAAATTTAAAGCCTAAATTATATTTGAATAAAAATTTAAATTATTATGTGGAAAATTTATCACAGGTAGTTAGGATTAACGTTATGCATATCAGTAACACCTCAAACATTAACCATAATAGAGATTTTAATTTATATATTTTATAGACATAGAATATAATTAATTCCATGTTTCACATCTAAAAGACTATGTGCACACGGATATAAACATAGACACGCTGTTCATTTATGCTCATACAATTCAATACATTGTTCACTGCACTTATATAATCATTTACTTACATTGAAAGTAATGATGATATAGGTATGTGCACTAGTATAATATTTCCATTATGAACTAAAATATATAGGATAACCTTATTTACTCACAGTCAATATCAGCAACCTCGGGCAGTTACAATTTCGACATTGACTTGGAGATATTTCTTTGTGGTCCTTGTTTCTCAATCACTTACTACATGCAAATGCCCACCTGAAAATATTTTACTTATTAAGTGGAGGCCCAAACAATCTTACTGAAAATGATTTGCTTAACTTAAAAATCTCAGATGTTTCAGCCTGTGAAAATTCCTTTCCCAATGCTCACAATAATGCATCTGATTATTTTTCACTTTTAAAGGAAATCTGTTATTTTACTCATGACAGATGTCCTATAACCTGAGGTTTATAGAGATAATGGCATTAAATAAACATATCCATAAGAGACAAAAAACCCAATTGCCTGGAAAATTAATTATGATAATTTTGGAAGTATTTCCTTGTTTTTGATTGTCTTGAACATTTTAGTCATTTTAATAAGTTTATTGCCATTCATCATTCAAGAAAAAATTTAGAATTTGTCTTCTACCACTATGTGCATAACAGATTTCTTACTATGTTTGTTGAATAAATTCCCACAAAATTTCCAGTTTACTCATCCAGAACCCCTTGCACAAATGCAAACCTGGGTCTCCCTGACAAATGACCCTGGACTACCAAGAAATTATGCTATCATTCTTTCTCCCTCTTTCTCCAAGAGGACTATGGCCTTTTACAAGGGTAATAATGCATCATGGAAAAGAAAATATTATGACATTTTGGGGAGTACTACACACAGGTTCTGAGCTAACACTCATACTAGGAGATACAGAACAATGTTGAGGCTCTCGAGAAGTGTAGGCACCTACAGAGGTTAACTGACCAATGGATTTTTAAGTAAGCTTTGACTCACAGTGGATCTGGTATGTCCTCGATACTTTCTATGGCCATTTCTCCACTTTCAAAAAGCATATTTGCAATAGATATACTTAGTACTTGACAGAATCATCATATTGGTTACATGAAGTGTAGCATCAGGGCTTCTATGGCAGGAAAGACCAAGTGGAAGCTTGGAGTTTCTATTCCTGATGAAACAATAAATCAGAATCAATCCCACATCCCTAGAGGGATTGCAGTGTTAGCAGCAGAAGTTTTCCTGACTGTGAAGGAAGGACAGACCTGGATCTGGTAGGTGAATGCACTGTGTAAAGTAGAGAAGTGCAGAGAATAGAGGATCATCGTGGAGAACTTCCTTGCCTGCAAGTTAGCACCATCATCTGTCTTCAGGGAAATAGTGTCAACACACTGAGCTGTGAGAGTTGGATCCTGCTCCTCTGTGTGCTTGTAGTTTTCTTGTATTCACACTTCTGGGGCTAAAGTTGCTCTCAACTGAACCTTTCAAAGAAAGTTGTTAAAGTTCCACTGAGAAAGATCACAACAAGCAACAAAGAAGAGGTGTGCCTGGAAGATGAAACTCTGATTAATTCTTTACTTCAGCTAGATATGGATGAAGTAACAGACATTGATAAATATACTGTGGAAGAAAAAAGAAGTGAAATCATGGCTTCTATTTTGTTTACTACAAACTTGCACCAAATAGCATCTGGCTACTACAGAAGATTGGTAAGACAACAAGATTCAGATTAAATTCTACAAGAAAAGAGGAAAATTTTATAATGGGTGATCCAAGGGTTTTTTTTCTTTTAAACATGAACACCTAGGCTTGGGCTGCTCTAGTCCAGAGAGGAGGTAACAAATTTCTCTGTAGCTGAAGTTCAACTCACCCATCCTTAGGAGTCCTGCATGTTCTTCCAGGCATGCTCTGCAGTCCAAAGCCCATATCAATGTCTAGATCAGAGCTTTGGGAGAAACTGTTTCAGACCTATACAGTAGTGCATCACAGTAGCCCCAGCTGTTTACCTGACACCTTTTATGTTGGGGAACCCAAGAGGAGTCTGCGCATTTGTGTAACCTCTTTCCATGCGGTTGAGTCCTATGACCCTGTGACTATGGATGCTGCCGCTGAATTTCCAGTTTCAGATATCATCAAGGGATAGTGATGACACTCACTCTAGACTCTGTTTTGTCTTCAGGAGAAAGAACCAGTCTCATCCACAGGGACAGCTAGAGTGTGGGCAATACCTTCCTGTGTTAGCAACAGAAAGAGGGAAAGCCTCCCAGACTCTTGTGTGTGGTGTTTCCACTAGCTGGTAGCCCCGTCTGACTCAGTAGTAGTTGGTCAGTGACAGATTTCACTCTCACCCTCAGTAGCCTGGAGGCTGAGGACTTTGCAGCTTGTCACTCTCAGCAAGGGCACAATGGGGATCATAGTAATCCAGACTCCAAGACAAAACTCTGTCTCTCATCTGCCTTCATAGCCTTTCTTCATCATGATATAAGTGGTCTCTACAAAGGCACCCAGTCAGCTCTTCTGTAGTTTTGTATGTTTTCTCCACCACCAGGAAGAAGAGGTTGGAAGGAAGAGAAAATCTATCTTCATTAAATTCTTAAAGGAGCATGACTCAGTTACTTTCTCTCGTTGCTGAGATAAAATACCTGACACCCAGAATTAAGGAAGGAAAACTTTATTTAGCTTACTATTCGTGATTTCAGTCATACTGGGCTGGCTCCAAGGCAGAGTGGTGCATGGCAGAGGGCAACAGTTCACAGCAGTAAAAAACAGCAAAAGCAGCAAGACCACAAAGGGAGGAGGTGGGGGAAAGCCTCTTTCTCTTCCTTACGTTGCTTGCAAGCTACCTGCCCCAAGGCAGGTGTAGCTCTCACACCCATAATCCCAGTATTGGACCATGAATCAATCATAAACTCTAGAAACCTGCACCATGACTGCATGAGTCTTTAGGGGGATATACTGACACAAACCACAACAGAGCACAATCTCTTAGACCTTCTTTTATAGCCTTAGATAAAGTGTCAGAGTTGAAAGACAGCAGGAAAACCCTGTGCTCTCACCCCAATACCTTTTCAAGCAGAAATGGAGGCTCAGAAGTCATCATCAATATCCCAAACTCATTCAGAGGTGAATAGTGAGTACGTAAAAGTAAGTAGGTTTTCAGATCTCTTTCTGTTTCATTTTGAATTTAATAAAAATGTCCTCCTCTGTCAAGTCACAAACCCTACAAACATTAGTTCCAAAAATTGCTCTCAGGTGAATCTAAGATATTTCCACTGAATGCAAACATGAGAAGAGCAAAGCTTAGGATTCTTTGTGAAGCCCTGCATCGTTTCCCCACTCTAGCGTCTATACCCCGTGGTGTCTTCCACTTACACTTCATGTGGAATCAGGCTGTGTATGCTCCAACAACTTGGGTACTGATCCAGCATCACCTTCTTGCTTGGCTATCTGTTCTGCCTTATAGGGCTCAAAACTCAAAGAGCTAGTCTGCAAAGAAATACATATTTTGGGGCAACACTGTACAGTCAGTTTGGGTACATGAGCAGGGATATGAAGCAGCAATTCTCCTTTTGAAGAGAACAGCTTGGATGAAGACTTCCAAGAGCCAATTTGAAAGTCTTGAGGAGCTTGAGGAGATATAACCTGGAAATGTGAAACCATATGCAGAGCTAGAACAGTCACCAAACCAGTTCAGACGTAAAGGAAGAAAATTCTTAGTGAGGCTGGCTTCAGTGGAAAGGATCAGAGAAAGAATTCAGAGATGGAGAAAGTAAGTCTTGGATGGAGATGACAAGATAACAAGGAAATGCCCAATGTCTGGTTGTTTCCTTACCGATAAGGTGCAATTCCTTCTCCTCTTTACCTGTCTGCATTCCTGGACAGTAGTGGCAATGAATGAGAACCAGTGTAATCAGAGAATCAGAGCAATAACAAATCCTTCCCAATCTAAGACACAACCACAAGTTCCAAAGGCGGGGAGCATAAAACCTGTTAGTTTCTGGGATATTTTTTAAGAGATCACATCGTAGATAGAAAGACAACAAGGGAAGGCGTGTTGTACTTGAGAGCAACAATTAAATAAGAGCTGACAGACCAACTCTATCTCATGGTCATTAGGGAGGACACATTTTCTCAGGCAAGGTTATGCAATTCTGGTGAAACCTGGGATGTCTGGAGACGATGAGCCTGTGCTGAAATATTGAGCTGAGCCAGCCCTGCAGCTGTGCCAGCCCTGCCCAGCCTCCTCTTATTTGCATGTCTCCAGAGCACAGCCCCTTGCTCTGAGAACTGCTTGATAAGCCGGTCACACTCTGTGCAGAAGTCAGTCTCAGTCAAGACACAGCGAGAATATGGGGTCCCCTTCCCAGCTTTTGGGGCTCCTGCTGCTCTGCCTCCCAGGTAAGAAGGGGCAGCACTGGGACTTTGCTCAGCCAGTGCAGTCAGTACTGCCTGGCCCTCCTGGAAGTCTCAGGGAACATGATTGATTGTGTGGTGATTTTGTGTGTTTGTCCCTAATTTCAGGTGCCAGATGTGACATCCTGATGACTCAGTCTCCATCCACCCTGTCTGCATCTCTGCAAGACAGCGTGACCATCAATTGCCGGGCCAGTCAGGGCATTAGCAATTATTTAGCCTGGTATCAGCAGAAACCAGGGCAAGCTCCTAAACTCCTGATCTATTATGCAAGCAATTTGGCATCTGGGGTGCCCTCCAGGTTCAGCGGCAGTGGATCTGGAACAGATTACACTCTCACCATCAGCAACCTGCAGCCTGAAGATGTTGCAACTTATTACTGTCAGCAGTATGATGAGTACCCTCCCACGGTGATACAAGCCATAGCATAAACCTCCCAGGAAAGCAGAAGTGAAAGTGTAGGCTGGCCAGCTGTTCCTCCTGTCATTTCTGTCTGTTCAGAACATTTCTCAGATGCAAGAAGCCTACACAGGAGGCATTTATGTTGTATCACAGCTTGAAAATGACACAGAAAAAGAGATGACACCACAGATACTACAAACAAGAATTGTTGCAAACAGTGACAAGATGCTTTAATTACCCATTATATTTGTTTCTTGGATGTATATTTTAACATTTATTAATTGCAGATTAATTGCAGATTTCAATAGAAGTGACTCTAATATTTCTATGTATGCAGACAGTGTACAATGATCATATCCATCCAAATGTCCACACATTCACCCTTGACTCCCTTCCCCATAACGTCTTCTCAATCAGTCTTCCATTTTCTAGTTGACATTTTTTTTTTGAAAAAGTTTCTGTATATTAGAAAGAGAGAATATCTGATATTTTTTATTATTGCGTCTGTCCATTTTCAGTTCCCATTTCAATTAAGGCTTTGAGTTACATTTGTGACCTGTAAGAGGATGGGGGTACTACACTGAAAGGATTTGGTTTCCCTATCATTTGGGGAGGGTTGAGTTGATGTTATTTGTAAAGGAAAGGTTTGTGGTGCATTAGATAACAACGCTACATAATGAGACCACATCTCAAAAAAAAAAAAAGAAAAGAAAATTTGATGAAAGCTTACATTTACAATGAAATAAAGGACAGATTGCCATTAATCTACCTCACACTACTCCTCTTCCTTCAAAGGGATGTATCTCACCTTTATTGCCACACTATGAAGTGGTTAAGAAGTCCTTTTCCAGGAGTGTTTTCAGTTTCCCTGTTGTGGCTGTTTTGATATCTTGAATAAATTTAAAATTTTAGCTTCCTGGTCATTTTGACTTTATAAAAGAGACATGAATGATATTGTGCCATTTGGTGAATATGGTGAAGCAGTATACACTGTAATGTTTGTGTGTGACAGAAATCCTTGTAAACTTCTTGATTGATTAAGGACATAAAAGCAGCCGTAAGTAATACTAACAAACAAAGTCCAGAAATTCTTCAGCAAGCGGCAAGAACAATGGGATAAGTGTGATCAAAGGAAGGGGGAGTATTTTGAGGGTAACCCATGACAATGTGTCTTCTACTGAAATCATTTTACTGGGATGAGGGAAAAAGAGAAAAGAAAGAAAGAATGAAGGGAAAAATTATACATATATATGAGATAGCTAAGATAATTTTACTACTAATTTGTATTGGTTTATTGAAAGGAACAGTTAATGCTTAATTGTTTGATCAATCTTGATTGACTATATCTGGTTGTCTGAGTAACCAATTTGAAGATAATAACATGTCATACAACAAACATTGTTAATTTCATAACACCTCATTTGAAATTCAGCATCATTTCTATTGTTCTTGTGTCGTTTTGTTTATGATTTTGTATTTGTTAATTTGTTTTTATTCTTTTCTCTTAAAATAAAAAATTTTAATGTCAACATACACTACTTAATATGACCAAACCGCATTCTCCAAACAAGAACTGTCTCAGTGCAGGGATTTTAAACTAAAGACACCTTAACATTTGCTGATTCTAGGAAATTGGAGAGTCTCTGGAACTTCTCCAGGATTGCACGTAGCATCAGTGGTTGGAAGCAGATGTTGATGCTGTCACTTACACACAGAGCCTCAGCTGGTGAATCCAGGTCTTTTCTACCTACTGATTTCAATGAATATTAAAGACTCCTGGTATCCTCAGTCTTATAGGATGGCCCATGTATGAGTAAGTTTACAGCAAACCATAGAAGGGAAGATAGTCTTGCGTGACATACTTGCAGAGTGATAGTGACAATGGAGTTAACAGCCAACAACTTACCCTAGGCACTACCACCAAAGTCTCAGAATTTTTCCAGTTGCATGGGCTCGAATGTGCTTCCACCTATTATCTGTGAAACTGGAAATATAGCTGGAAAACTTCATTAACTCATATGTTAACTGGAGAGGAGAGGAAATTATATGAACAAAGTTACATAGCAACCATCCATTGAAAACTCTTTCTTGATAAAACAAAAGAGAAGCAAAACAAACTGAAAAGCAAAAGAAAAAAGAAATAGAGAGAAAAAACACAGAAACACAAAAAAGTGAATATCATTAAACTTCTTAATTTAACTTTTTTCTAAACACATCAAAAATTTACTGCTTGAAATTTGCACAGCATGCAGCAGCATCCTCACAGTCACCAAAAATATCCTGCACAGCCTAAAGAAGACCCCTCAGAGCAGTGGGGTGATGATAGTAGTCATTGTAACAAGGTCACAGGAAATCCACAGCAGGTTTAAAGCCCTCTACTTTTCTTTTACCGTGTTCTTGAACTGAAACTTGCATAACATACATCGCACAAACTTTAAAATGTAAGATTTGATAGAGTTTAGCACATTGGCAGACTTACGCAACTATGACCACAAGCAAACTTAGGTCATTTCTGTTATTTCAAATGAAAACACTCTACCTACTAACTCTTACCTCCCAACAACCCCCTACTAAATCTAGTGAACCATTGAGCTATTGTCTACTGATATGGCAAGTGGGTTCAGCAAGAAAGGCACTCACAAGAAAACCAAAAAGGCAGGAACAAACAAAGCTTTATTAAGCCGGCTGCTAGGCAGTCTGTAACCAGGAAGCAGAGAAAATATCCATGCCAATCTGCGTCTCACCTTTGGTTTAAGTCTGTTTTAGCTTTCCATAATGGCTGTTACTTCATTTTTGAGAATCTCGCAAGAATGTCACATAATCATCACATAGTTTACTCCTCCCCAAAGCTTTCAGACAGCCACATTCCAGATGAACTTTGCAGTTTAGCTTTTAGTCTTCTTCCTTGTTTGTCCTGTTTGTTCAGTTCCAGTTTTATGACTCTGCTCTGCTTTAAATGGGTTGATAATTAACCAAGGACGGGGGTGAAGAGTGGGGTGAATTACAGCTTAAGTGAATTTAATTGACTTCTCTTAATATGCAGCTAAAAACAGAAAATTGATTCTCTCTTTCCCTATCATAACTTCATAGATTTTCCTATTGTGGGAATTTGGCAAAATTCAAAATAGGCAATGCTCTAGACAGTAATAAATACTTTATCATATCCAAAAAAATGAAAATCCTGTAAGTAAGGTCTGATATCATACAGGAGTGAAACTGGAGACTGATAGTAGAAGCATAAATATACTATAACTTTTTATTTCTATTTTCTCTCTGTCCTCTATCCTACTAAACATTTCATATAAGGGAATTCATTTGATGGTCAAGCTTATGTATCACGTTCACTGCACTTAACGATATGGTTTCAAGGTGCACCCATTTTTTCACAAGTGTCTCTAATTCATTTTTCTCAGTAGCAGAGTAGTTCTCCCTTGTGTGGAGATAGCACATATTTTCTCCATTCATCTGTTGAAGGGCATATAGTCTGATTCCAAGATTTAGCTCCCATGAATAGTGCTGCTATAGACATGGGCACACAGACATCACGGCCATATGACGTTTTTAACTCTTTTTGGATGGCAATTCTGCTTCATGTAAGTCATGGCATAAAAAATAAGGAAATAGAGAAAATACTAACAAGCAGCGCAAAGATTACATTAGAAAGAAGAGCAGCAATACAATGCAGTAACAATTTATAGATAAATTTTTTATAATTGATGGTGAAAAGAAACATAGAATAGAGGTGTGATGAAAAATCTCAGTAATCAGGTGTGTCAAGACAAAATAGCTAAGGTCTTAACAGTTATAAGCAGGTAGTGGGAGTGAAAAGATGGCCTTAAAAACTATTATGACTGTGTATAGACAGTGCATGTGGCTTAAAACTAGGTTTCCTTGGTCTCTGTAGTTGCTTTACTTTATACTCTTAGTAAAAATAAAAATATAAGAATGCTAAATATTTTCATGATAATAATAACAAAATAATAGCAGTACATATTGTGTGTTGCAGAGCATTCTAAATTTCCATTGTGTTGAAAAGATAACTAGAAGATATGGTAGTACTATTATATTGGTCAAGATTTGCATCACTGAGACAAAATACCCAATACGAACAACTTAGAGAAAAGAACTAATTCCACCAGAGACATCCTGGTGGAAAGGGATGTTGGAGCATAGCTGCTTAGTTCATGGTGGTGAGGAGCACAGCAGAAGAGAGCTAGAGCTCAAGGCACAAGGGACTAGACATTGCACACATAGGTGGGGCTTTATGGAAGTGTTGGATCTAGGGTGTGTGCTGCTGGGATCAAGGGTGTGATGTTGGAATGCATCATGGTGTGTCTCTAGGATCATTGTGTGTCACTAGGATTAAGGCTGACCACACTGAGTGTCAGCGCTACCCTCCCTAAGGCTGGGAAGCTTTGATCAGATATAGAGGACAAAAAGAAAACTGTTGTTTGTTGTTTGTCACTTACTGCTTTGCTTCTTCACTACTTTGCTGCCTTCTGTCCACAAACTGTTTCTCCTCTGTGATACCACCCTTCCTTGGAGCCAGCCAACTAGGAACTAAAACCTCTATGAACTGCAAGCTAAATAAACCTTTCCTCCTTTAACTTTGAGTGTCAGATATTTTGTCACCCCAATGAGAAAAGTAGCTCAGACAATTGTTCTCTGTGTACTGATTGGCCTATGTATTTGTTTAATTCTAAACTTTTAATTGATTTCTAAATAGACAGTGCTCAAATTAAAATTTACACATTCAACGATTTCAAACGCAGCCCAAACAAACAAATTTGTAGCCAGATGGGGAATATTTCCTTTGCATTTCTGAGGAAATCTCATCCACATCATACAGCAATCGATAAAATGAAGCCAGGTGAGGAAAACTCCTAACCATCACTACTCTCTTCAGCTGCCTGACCTTGACAGTTCTTTCTTTACTCTGCCTGACATAACCTAAGGACAAGACCCTTTACTCCAGCAACCTCTCCCCTGCGGAACAGTAACCTTTGCACCTCAGGCTCTGAACAGGCTCCTGCTGTGAGGTGCTTGTTCCTGACAGGCTGTCAAAACATCGCCAAAAACTGGGGTGCTACTGCCTCCCTGTGGTTGTGGTCCTTTTGTTGTGTTCAGTTCTTAGATCCCTCCAAGCTCCTAAACCAGTATGACACTCTCTAACCCTAGAACCACTGCCTTTTATTTTATTGACATAAACACCCCACTTCTATGGCTTTCTTCACATACATATTACAAATGATTCCAATTTCATAAAATCAGGGTAATAGCTAAGGCAAAATAATGCAACCACAACAAAACTCCCCTGTATAAATTCTTCCTTTGGTTGACCCTGGTGAAGTTTAGAAACACATAGCAGTGAGCTCCCTACCTGGACAGAGCACAGGAGATTCTGACACCCTGAGTCTCATTATCCACATCTAGTTGGGAGTGACCAGCTGAGATTGCAATTGCTGATGCTCGCAAGTAGTGTGTTGAGGTATAGCAGAGAGATTCTTGTCCAAAATTAGGTTTATTCTATAATCCTTTACACAGTATAAAAAATGTCAGAGGTCTGTTTGACAAAAGTAATATTTCAACAGGACTTTACATTGTCTACATACAGACCTGCAACAAATTATGGACAAAAAGAATCACGAGGTAGACTTTTTAAACTTTATCATTTCAGTTTCATAAGACATACCAATATTTACTTAATTTTAAGCCTCACAAAAGGATACTTTGTAATGAATATATTTTCAAAAATGTACCTTTAGCAAAAGAAAGTATGACATATTTATTACTGTTATTTTCCATACTAAGTAATGGGTACACTTTATTCTTATTTAAGTACTCTTTCAGCATAATTTATTCATTCAAAAATAAAATGACCAAAGCGCTTTCTTTCAATTTCTGTTTGTTTTGCATAACTATTTTCATTTTTTTGTTTGTTTTTTGTTTGTTTTTTTGTTCTGCATAGTTATTTTCATTTTTTGTTTTGCATAACTATTTTCATTTTTTTGTTTGTTTTTTTCTGGTACTGGGAATCCCAAGCCCTCCATAACTATTCTCAAATATTTCCTATCTGCTTATTGTTGTTTGTCGCAACTTTCATTGGGATGAATTTATAAGTGTGATAGCTTCAAGACTAAGATCCAGCTGGACATGGTGGCTCACACCTGTGATCCCAGCACTTGGGAGATAGAGGCAGGAGGATCGCCATGAGTTGGAGGCCAGCCTGGGCTACATAAGCAAGCTCAAGGCCAGCCTGGAGTACATAGCAAGACCCTGTCTCAAAGAAACAAAAGAAAACAAAAAAAAAGAAAAAAAAGAAAAAAAAACACTAAGATACAGGTGTTGATCAAAACTATCAAAACATAATGGAAGAAAAGTGCAAGTAAATTGTGAATATGTTGTTTATTCTGCCTATGATTGATTGTCATTAACTAGATACTTGTCGTGAAGTTCAGTACAATTTCTACTCAATTATAGTATCATTCCCATCATGCTTAAAACATGAGTTTTGCTCATTTCCCAAGAGATATTCATACCAAGCGTTCTGGTGGCATCATAACATCATTTTATTTGCTTCTTTTTTTCTTGAACAATTAACGTTAGTTTATATTAATTTACCCAAGGATGCACAGTGCTTATATTCGACTTTACACTGTCCCCTTCCTTTTCCAGGAAAGTGACTGTTCTTGTGAAGTGAGTCATTGTGAGCCCCTTTCCCAGTTGTACGTCAATTCCATCTTAATTACCTCACTTTTCAATGAAGAACCAGCAGGTTGTTCTCCTAGTTGGTTAGCAGACAGAGGAGCATTAACATTTTTATATAGATTTTTGGGGAAATGTCAGTGATGGACACAGGAGATGGTGAGACACCCTGTCAACAACTCAGTCTTGCTCTTTTCAGAATATTTTGTGAAATGAGGGCTAAAGGTTGTGCACACACAAGCCAGTTGAGATGTTTGGGTATAGAAACCTAGACCTGGTTAGGATGGGCCTGCATGCTGTAAAAAACTGCACAGAAAGAGATTTATAAACATCATTCTGTAAAAATGAAATATAAACTTATTTCTTGTGCATTTAGTATCAATATTATAGGAAGTATTTTTCTCATGAAATATGTAAGGTTAGCCTCATATGTGCAGACAGTAACGATGGGATGGATGATTTAATATGTATTTATAGATGTATACCTATATATCTAAATATGTATATATGTGTCTATATATCTATAATCATCTATATATCTATATATCTGTATATATATCCATATATCCATATATATATATATATATTTGATGACCATGAATTTTACATTTCATGCATAACATTATTTCTGTTTGTAACTCTTTTACATTTCAGGCATAAAATTATTTCTGTTTTTAACTCTTCCTCATATTCATCTATTAGGTCCTCTAAGCAAGAGACACATTTTCTCCAGGTTGATCCTGTTAGCAGAGTTTTGTGGCATTTAGGTGTCAGGGAAAGGCAGATCCTAATTCATGCTTCTGACATTCTAACATATTTAATCTCTTACACCAGATGCCAGAGGCCTCTGACAATCAGGACTTGGCTGGGAACTGCTGCCTTCTGTAGACCGCTGGAGAGCCAACAAACAGGAGGGCTTTTGTCTCCTGAAACTCATTCTAGGTGCGCACTCCTTCACTGTCAGGACTTTACCTTCACAGGGTCTAAGCCCTTATCTTTCATCTAAACTCTTACCTGCAAATCCTTCTTCTCATTTCAGAAGGGAACTAGCAAGGATGTTTTATTGGTTTACTATAAAGGAGAGTTCTGTATCCTCTTGTTGTCGCTTTTTACTTTATTCGCTGACTCATGTCACACATTGCTCCCATCAGGGCATTTGTACACTGTCCCTTAGGGAGGACCTTCCCCAGAGTCAGACATAAACACTCAGCTCTGATTCTCCCTTGACTAATCAGGACTTCTCAGTTCCATTTCCCAGTTCCTCATCTCAAAATGAGCTGCCCTCCTCAGTTCTTACAAGGTATTTTCATGTATGCCTCACAACAGGGATTTGTTTTATCCTTCTGGTGAGATTCAGCAATGCATTTTGGGACATTTTAGTATTCTGTGATCTCAGTCAGCCCTACTCTTGCTACTCATCATGTTAACTTAGTTAAACTAATGGCTATTAGAATTTTCCTTGAAATAATCATTCCTTTTTCTTTTAACAATAATTTGTTGGAAAAATCCTTTAGTATTTCATGATATATTGTTCTTTATTAAAATATTGCTAGAAAACTAAGTGTTCATGTTTGCCTCAACAGATTTTAGTAAGATTAACATTCTTATATATTTGATACCCTAAGCCCCTCAGATTTAGCTGGTTTCTCTTCTCCTTTGTCAAGACTTCACCATTTTTAGGATTTCTTAGTTTATGGCATAGGATGGTCCAAGTGAATTTATAATTTCTGTGTCCTGGGCATAGTGGCAAGAGTGAAGAAGTCCTGAAGTCCTGAAGAGAATGGCATGGGTGAGGAAATCTAGACCCCACAAGCAACGATTTGAAGAGCTCAGGTAACATGTACCATGGAAATTTGAAACTAACTATAGAGATAAACTCCTGTTCATGACTGTTGAGTTATAAAAGAAGAAAGTCTCTGATGAGGCTGAGTATGATGGAAAGAGTCAGAGAGACAGTTCAGAGGTGGAGGAGAAATTCAGGTTTTGATGGAGAGAACAAGATACCATAGGGAGATGTCAAATGTGTCCTTCAAACTCATGAAATGTACTATTATTTCTTCCTCTTCTGCTTGATCACATTTCACAACTCTAGTGCCAATAACTGAGCACACAAACACAATCAAGGAATGAGACCAATCGCAAAATCCTTGTTGTCTTGAGAACAGTCACAGGCAATATATGTTGGGAGCCTAAAAATTATCTGTGAATTTGTGGGCTGTATTCTGGTAGACTCTGTAATAAACAGAAGTAAATGAAGATGCAGGAACCCAGAAGACAGCAATACAATGAATGACAGAGGACTGATTCTATCCTGCAGCCTCTTGGGAGAACTCATTTTCAGAAAGCAGATAATTACCACTATGATCACACCTTGGATAGACAGAGACCCTGAGGCTGTGCTGAATTACTGAGGTAAGGCAGTGCCCCAATTGTGCTCAGCCCTCCCCAGCCCCTGATGATTTGCATGTCTCGGAGCACAGCCTACCACCCTGAAGACTTCTTAATAAGCTGGTTACACCCTGTACAAGAGTCAGACTCAGTCAGAATACCAGAACACAGGATGGACATGAAGGCTCCCTCTCAGCTCCTATGGCTCCTGCTGCTTTGCCTCCCAGGTAAGGCACGACAACACTGTGGATTTACACAGCCCAGTGTGGTTACTGCAGTCCTCCTTCATTGAAATTCTCTGGTAGCATAATTGTGTGTGTGTGTGTGTGTGTGTGTGTGTGTGTGTGTGTCCTTTTCCAATTTCAAGGATGAGATGTGACATCCAGTTGACCCAGTCTCCGTCTACCCAGTCTGCCTCCCTTGGAGACCAAGTCACCATCACTTGCAAGTCCAGTCAAGGCATTAGTAATGATTTAGCATGGTATCAGCAGAAACCAGGGAAAGTTCCTAAACTCCTGATCTATGAAGCAAACACTGTGCACTCTGGGGTCTCCTCGAGGTTCAGCGGCAGTGGGTCTGGGACAGATTTCACTCTCACCATAAAAAACGTGGAGCCCGAGGACTTTGCAACTTATTACTGTCAACAGTATAACAGTTACCCTCCCACAGTGATACAAGCCATAGCATAAACCTCCCAGGAAGAAGTGAGAAACCAAGTGAGACCAGCTGCTTCCACTGTCACCTCTGTCTGCTGAGAGTATTTCTGTGATGCAGGAAGTCTACACATGAGGCATCTTGTGAATCAGCTGCAGTGAGAAAGCAGGAGATAATAATCAGGTGCACTTTGTGTGCACTTCCGAATCCACACACACGAAGTCTTGGAAGAGTCATGAGCTCCTGGTCTTTGAATCACTGGTACCGTCACCAGTCTGTTGAGGGTTCTTTAGCTCAATTCAGAAAGAAATCATCAGTCAACAAAGAGGGCCTGTTTTCAGCCCTACTACTGTAACACAGAAGTGACTCTGCAACTGGCCTTGATGCCACTCTTAAAAATAATTAATGTAAAATGCCAGCAATCAAATCTGCCAGTCACTGGTCTATGCTACCACCAGCTACTGTCAATACTGTTTTATGCCTGACATTCTGGTTAACAACGCCTAGTGTTTAGACTTCTTTTAAACTGGTTGCAGTGGTCACATTACCCAGGATTAGGATCCTGAATAGTTTTATGGGAAATTCCTAGCCCGCAGTCCCCTAGAAATAAATTAAAGCACATGTATGGGACCACTGCATCAAGGCTTTATTTGTAATGGAATTGTACTTTTGGGTCATTATACCCAAGGAATCTTCTTAGAAAAACTGGAGAAGTGTGAGGGGACTGTTATTTATATAGCAGCTGCAGGCCTGTGATTGGCCCAAATTCAAGGCTCCCTTTGGGGCCAAACTGTTTTAAACTCAAGGCCTCTGATCTGACCCTTCAGAGTGATCCAAATTCAGTTCTACTTATTTTCAACTCCAGCCTCCACTGCTCAGGGAAGCCAGATTCAGGAGTGGGTGCTTGTCACCCAGGAAGGCTGCAGCTCTCACGAGGACTGTTTGGCAGAACCTAAGGAAGCTCTGTTGTTGAACTGATAGCAGTCACTTCTGTGTTACAGTCACAAGACTGAAAACAGGCCCTCTTCAGGAAATGAAGCTGTGGTAATCACAGATTACTGGGATGAAGTGCTTGTGGGTGTTACTGATGGCCTCAGATCCCCGCTGATCTTCAGCTCCTTAGAGGTGGTTTCTTGCTGCATCTTCACAGAGGTGGTAACGATGGAGGAGAAGGTGGGGGAGGGGCATTTGTGGGGCAGAGCACCACTGCTGAGAAGCCAGCTTCACCTTCCGTCTGGGTGACCCAACCACAAAGTAATTAAGAATCAGTGTGAGCACACTGAGGTAATCTCCCCAATTTGCTCTCAGGCTAACACATGCGGGAGAGGGAAGTGAGGAGCAGGGGAGTGATGGTCACCAGCCTTCCCCGGGGAACAGGGAGCGGCAGGCTTTTCCTTGGTCTCAGAACCGGCTTAGAACCAAAAATGCTTACTTCAGTTTATATCACCTTCAACCAGAGCAAAGGCCAAACTATTGTGGCAGTGTCAGAAGAGCAGTTGCCTGGCAGGTTACTGGAGCAGTTAAGGACTGGCAAGAACATGAGGAAGAGATCTACAAAATGTGAGATATTCTACAGCTTTATCTGGATTGTGAATATGGGTAAAACAGTTTTATTGAATATTTACTATCCCTACATTTCACATGATTTGAACATAATCTTAATCTAAAAAGTCAAAAAACAATGTACAGAATTTCAAACAAGTCTTCACAAAAGAAATAAATATCAAGTATGAATAACAACTTGTCCTTACTCAACCGGAGTGTAAAACGTGCCTGAGGAAGGGCCTATGTTAAAAACTTCATAGTCAATCTAGGGGATTACCAACGTCAAAATCCTATAAGTTGTCATGTCCCAAATTGACCAGTAGATGGCAAACCAACCCGCAAAAAACAAAGCACAGAGGCTTCATCGTAGGAATTCTGGGGAAGAAGTGAGAGTGTCCACTTAGCAATAGCAGCCAGAGATCATGGGGAGTGTATAATCCAGCTCTCATGGCTCACGTTTCCAACGTGACATCTTCTTCCTGAGCCATTCTGTGAAAATTTTGTGTTTTCTTTCTGCAGTAGCTACAGCCTGACAACATGAGACTTAACCTAAGGAGGCTTGAAGTAGGGTTACACCATGCAGCTCTGACCAAGGCTGTGCAGGGGAGTGAAGGCCAGGACTCTCAATGTAACAGACACATGTGCAGTAAGGTGGAAATGGCCTTAAGAGGAGGAGGGGCAGAGCCCACTGAAGAGCAAGAAACACACTGGACACGTCCCATACAGGACAGGCCAGGTCGTGCGCAGAGGAGACAGGAAGTGATTTCAGATCTGTGCCTCTGCCTGCTCCAAAGCCATGCATGGTCCACAGGTATCAGGGTGGGTCCTGAGCTTTATGATGCTGAGACTCTGCAGCGGGGAAGGACCATCGCTGAGGCATCTGTTGTTCATGCTCTACCTGCCTGTATTTAAAAAGTTATAGCAACACATCATTTTAAAATACTTTATTATATTAACATAATGCACACATAATGTGTGTGCTTTTGTGTATTTCACAGGGCTCCTTACCTTTCTAAGCACAACAGCACCTGACTGAGACAAGATGGAGGAATCAAACACTTACTGATTCCCCTCTTGCCCTTTACTCCTCAGGACAGTGAGAACAGCTCTGAGAAGAGCTGGACCCAACTCCATGGTCCTGGGTTCTCAGACACTTACCCTGGCCTCGCACTCCTGGCCTGGTTCAGGGCCTGTGGAGTGGAGCACTTTCCTCCTCTGGTCCTCAGCCCCATTCTCAGGACAGCAGCTGCTTCCTCCCCTGCTCGCAGATGTCTCCCGTGCAAGCCTGACCTCTCTCTGGCCTTATACTCCTCCTTCAAACCTCACCTAAACTCCAGGGCCAGAAAGGACATTTCCATGTTTGCTGAAGCTATCACTACTACCTGCATAAATAGAAATTTGACTTCATCTCATTCTCAGGTTCCAGACTTATTTCAATCTGAGCAGAGAAAGTTTCCTTTAGAGTGCGCTGTCTATTTGACATAAAACATAAGCAAAGTTATGTTTAAATAAGAAAATAGTGCTGAACACCAAACTAAGAGAAATCTCACTTTCTGTTTAGTTTATTAACTGCCATCTCTTTCTTCCTGTGTATAGGAAGAACATCCAGCCTCTTGCAGAAGAAGGCAAGTGCATGATTGTCAGACACAGGTGATCAGCAGAAAAGTGTGATTAAAGAGGAGTAAGAAGGGTGGAAAAATGCCAAGAGAAATTTCGGATCTACTGAAAAGAAGAGGATAAAGAGCTTTGCTCTGATTTTCCCCCTATGTACTTGTTAGAATTGTTGATTCTTAGAGACACTGCAACCACCTAGATTAACAAAAGCATTAAGCCCAAGACTGAAAAGTCTGTGTAGTGATAGAGGCAACGCGGAAAATTAGTGAATGTGATTTCTGTTGTCACCAAACAGCTAGACCAATTATAAATTCTGCAACACACAGATTTACCTTCATGGCTAGAGCTATGTTACATTTTCTTACACTGACTTCTAAATTACTGCAGAGATTAAATTATCCAGAGAGGTTTAAGGGGAGGTTAATTGCGACAGCCTTTGACCTCATTAAGAGCCCAGGCAGTATCGTGTGTGTTTGTGTGTGTGTGTGTGTGTGTGTGTGTGTGTGTTTGGGGATGCTGTAGCATGGGAAGTTAGAAAATGTAATTGACTCTGTCCTACCTGGGCATTTTAGACATGTTGTGTCGGTGTCGATAGAAACCAGACCACTTCAAAGAGTTGAGAAATTTTATTACATTCATTTTTCTTTTTGTATTGTGCCCATGATATACTCCCAAGTTTTCCTTAGTTGCTCCTGTGTCCAAAGGTCTTTCCCATCGAATATTGTAAGAAACAGGAAAAAAGTATTTGCAGAAACATGCAGAGAGCAGGATACAACTAATTACACTACTGAAGTAGGTTGACTTTGTCCCGTGGGTCACTGGGAGAAAAAGAGTGCATGCAACACATTAGATCCAGCCTAGCCTGGGTTGAGACCCAGATCACTTATCCTTTCCTGAGTGACAGAAACGAGCCAGCCCTGCAGCTGTGATCAACAGAGCTCAACACCTGCTGATTTGCATGTGCCAGAGCACAGTAGCAGGGACTTCTTCATAGGCTGTCACACCCTGTGCAGGACTCAGTCCCAGTCAGGACACAGCATGGACATGAGGGTCCCCACCCAGCTCCTGGGGCTCCTGCTGCTCTGGCTGCCAGGTAAGGAAGGGCAGCCTGGGAATTTCCTCAGCACCTTGTGTTTATTATTTCTTGACGCTGTAGAGACATTTTCTTAAACCTCATTGGTTGTGTTTATGTTTCCCATGTCAGGTGTGCGATGTGACATCCAGGTGACCCAGCCTCCACCCTCCCTGGCTGCCTCTTTAGGCGACACAGTCACCCTCACTTGCCGGGCCAGTCAGGGCATTAGCAAAAACTTAGACTGGTATCAGGAGAAACCAGGGAGACCTCCTACTCTCCTGATGCATCATACTAAGGATTTACACTCTGGGGTCCCATCGAGGTTCAGCGGCAGTGGGTCTGGGACAGATTTCACTCTCACCATCAGGAACCTGCAGCCTGAAGACATTGCAACTTATTACTGTATGCAGCATAACAGTTCCCCTCCCACAGTGATTCAAACCGTAACAAAAACCTCTCAAAGAAGCAGAAGTGTGAGGCTGGGCTGCCCAGCTGCTCCTCCTCATGCCCACACCTGCCTAAAACCTTTCCTAGATGCAGCCAGGTTTTCAAAGTCCCTGGAGGATTTGGTAAAAGATACCAGAAATTGTCTTCTGAAACCTTATGGTCTTTCCTCCTTTTCACTTCTATCAAACCTGGTATTAAGTTCAGTTCTATCAAACCAGGTTTTCTTAAAACAAAGGAAAGGTGATTGTATCAGGATTTTGTGTTGCGGCATCACTTGGAACTCACTGAGTAAAAGAGAGGACTTTCAACTTAGTGCAAGTGGGAATTCTTTTAATAAGCAGAATTATAACCTCTTCAACAGTTTTTACTCTCCTGAGGTAATGAGAGAAAGAGGTGCTACAAATAGGGTCTTCTCTGGTGCTCCCTGGAGTGCATAGGACCACCAAATGGGCCCTGGGGCCCTAAGATTTTCTGTCCTGCAGAGAGCCGGGGGTAGAATTCTGATTTTATCCCTTCCAAAACCACCTCTCCATGTAAGGCTACATCTGCCTGCTGATTTTCAAAAGGCCTAAATGCTCTTCTTTCTTTTAAATCTCAGAGAATTATTGTTACATAGTCACCTCTACAGCAAAGCATAGATGGACAAGTGTTTCTGAGAAATTTATTTTCTGATGTACTGGTGAAATTGTTGATAGGGGACAATCCAGGATGTCACTATTGATCCATAGCTCCAATATTTTCTAGGTATGGAGAGGCCCTCCAAAAGTGCTGGAATTTGTTTCCATTTATTAACTGTGAATATGGGATCATATCGCACAGTTTCAGCAAGTCACAGACTAACCTGAAAGTAAGAAGGGAGGATTACAAGTATGAGGGATTTTACCCATAAAGTTACAAATCACATACACTTGAGAAACCTTCCTTGACAAAACTAAACAGAAGCAACAAAACCAAAAGAATAAAAAATTTAAAAGAAACAAAAAGTACTTAAAATGATGTAAACATTTTTAAAAATTAACTGTCTTAGTTTAAATTTTTTTTCCAAATATATGTGTTTTGCTGCTTGCTGGGAGCATCGCCTATGTGCTCAGAACTCCGTATGAACGAGGGAGGGCAGCCCCTCCTCAGACTGCTGAAGGATATCAGGAAATCCACAGAAGGTGTAAGATGCAATGCTGCAGTGGTAGTTAATTTAGTTAAAGAAATTTTTGCCTCAGTGGGGTCATTTAAGAAAATTTACTTTTTAAAGCTATATGGTAAAATACACAGAGCATTATTTTAGTCTCAATTTAAAATTGTATTTGGAAATGGATGTATAGGATAAATGTTGAAAAACCTAATTTTTTCATGCTGTTATCATATTTTATCATAACTAACCATAATAAAAGATTTTAGAATCATCACTAATAATCTAATGGGAAGAATGCATCAAAAGATGTTGAAATTATGTAGGTGGATAGTGGAGGTAAACCTGCCAGAGGAGCCTAGTGTGGGGATTTTCCTCACTTGTTTGTCAGAGATGCTGTGTCCTGGGTGTCTCAGCCCTTTGGAACTGGGTGTAGCTCAGACTCAATTTATAGGGTGAGAATCACCTCAGTGTTTCAGAAAGATCCGAAGATAGAAACCTTATCCATTAGGTGACATGGTCTCCTTTCCAGAAAGATCCAACAAGGTCTGCCTACCTAGACCTGTGGAACGATCCTTGATATGAACATCCATGAACAGGACAATAAATGCCTAACTTTTCTGCTGGGCTTAGTACAAACAATTATTGTTACAAAGCTAACTAATACAGTATTTATATATCCACACATAGATATATTGATTTATAAAACTGGTGGGCTAGAACTCCATATTTAAAAATTAATCAGAAAGTGATATATATAGGTAAGAAATTTATCAACCTATAAAAAAATCCCAATAAAAAAGGAATATTGATTTCATTTGTGGAAAAAATACCATAGTTGTTTCAAACTAACATATTTAGTAATACTTAAATATATAATCATAATACAATTTTAATACATGACATAGACATCATAAATTGTTAAATCTACATTTCATAAATATAAGATTATGGACAGATACGATGGCATACCCCTGTAATCCCAGTACCACGGGAGTTTGAAGCAGGATAACAAGTTTAGCTCATCCAGGCGAACCAAGCAAGAGAGACCCTGATTGAAAATAAAAAGAAAGTCTGGATGTAGCCAAGTATGAATGCACTGGATTCATTACCCAGTATCACAAAATTAAAAGAAAGGTAGTTCCTAAATATATATATATATATATATATATATATATATATATACATATTTTATATATATATTTCTTACAAGTGTGTACATCATTTTGATTAATTAATACCTATACTTATATAATCAAAGTTTATATTACAAGTAGTATGAGTCAATGTGCATATGTATACACATGTATAAAATTTTCTTTGCCTACATATACAGTATCTCTGTTTATTCAGGCTCAGTATTAATGTTCACTGATCTACAGATACATTATTTAATGTCCATACAGGATTAATGTACATTATTGTTCATTCATGTCCAGATACAGAATTTGCTTTCTGAAGTTTTTCTTGTGATCCTTGTCTGTAAATCCCTTATGAAATGCTGCATCCACCTGAAAACATTGTAGTACATCTGTAGAAGCCCATAAAGTCAAGATGGAGATAATTAGCTGAACATAAAAGTTAAGACATTTCAGTTTGTGAAAAGTCCTATGAAGTAAGCCTTTGAAAATGAAGGCACTAATAAAAAGCACCAAACTGTCTGAATGACTAGCGAATTAAATAATGGGTGAAATCACTTGTCTCAAGGGGTGTGGAGGAGCACACTTGTCCTGGTTAGGAAATGCATGTTACACTCTTACAGAGAGAAAGACTGAAGTTCAGTTTGCTCAGAATGATATTTTAAAATCACTTCTTAATGCTACAAACATTATTCTAATCTCTTATTTGATCAGAGAATATCTAAGGTTTGGATCGAGTGAATTTTCTGGTTTTAGCAAATTAGAGGACAGGAACAAAAGCTAGAACTGTGTAACTTCTAAATTACTATATAGTCTAGGCTTTTTTAGTATCTGTCATCCCTAAATTTATTTGCAAAATGGATTTTAAAACATCTAGACAATAACACCAATCAACAGGTTACTCTTTGGGGTCGAGAGTGACTCCACGTGGCTTAAGAAAAGCCTTACGTCCACTTGCATCCTAGTGGTTTAAAAAGACAGGAGAGGTAAAGCGGTCATATGTGTTTCAATAATCTGCCTCAGTTTACTACTTCTGTAGAGAAAAAAGCAACACAGATACTCAGAGGTTTTTCCTACTAACTATGAAGAATGAACAAGCCAGATATTTAATATGGAAGGAAAAAAAACCTATTGCGTTCCAATTCCCAGGATTTAAGGATAAAATTCAATAAAATGATTATTCAGCAAAATAATATTTGTGTTAATGTAAAATAAAAGTGCAGATAAGAAATGAAGCCCAAGTTTATTGCAATGAGGAGTGATAAAGAGCCACATCTTTGATCTGGATTCCATCACAGTACACAGAATAGGGTCCTGCTTACAAGGATCAACATTTAAAAAGTATTAAAATATCCATGATATTAAATCCTGCCAGCACAGATAAGGAAAACAGCAGAAAATGTAAAAATAAATCCTACAGATGAGTAAGTCTGGTTACAGAAGCTCAAGGAATGGGGAGATGATAACGGTCCAGGAGCTCGGGATTTATTTTTCACCTCTCTGATGTCAGAACAAGATGTGAGGTGCAATCATGCTTTGCTCCTGTGAGAAACTTTGTTCTCTGCCACTTCAAAGCTGATTCTGCATCTCACTACTGCACATAACACAATTTGCATATTTCTCCCATATGTTACCCCAGCACCACTGAAGCCAGGCAATGCATGTTGATGGACTGATGTGGAAACCCACTATCAGCTGAACGTCAGAGCAAAGGCCATGGGTTCCCAGCCCGGACTCCTCCATTTCTTCCTCTTTTGCATTTCTCTTAAGAGAAACATTTCCTCTAATTCATGGGTTGAAGTCTTCAGAATCTCCACCAAATATGACACATTCATAAGAAATGGATTTTTTGTTTTCTCCAAATAGGATGCATAGAACTTATTGTCCATATTTTGTCCTGTAGCAGATTCCCTAGCAGAAACTATACTCACACAGTCTCCAGCGTTCTGGCAGTGGCTGTAGGAGGCAAGGCGACCATCACCTGCAAGGCCAGTACGGACACTGATGATGATATGCAGTGGTATCAACAGAAACCAGCAGAAGCTCCTAAGTTCCTTTTTACAGGAGCTGCTACTCTCACCTCTGGAATCCCTTCCTGGTTCAGCGGCAGTGGGTATGGTACAGATTTTACCCTGAAATGTGAGGACTCTGCATACTATTTGTGTCAGCAGGATGATAATTGGCCTCTCACAATGAGATACACAGACAGAAAACCCTGCACATCTCTCAGGGAGGATGCTGCAGCTGCTCGTGAAGCTCAGTTGAGGCACCGGGTCATGTTTTTGTGTTTCTGAGTTCTTTCGTGCACGTGCGTGGTCACTTTCACTTTCTGTTTCTGTACTTTCCAGGCCATATCCCCCTTGCTGTTTTTGTCACAATCGATACTGTGGAGACTACAAAAGCCTTCAGCACAGGATCCACCTTACCAATGTCCGTCTCCAGCTGGAGGCAAGATCACATGGCCAGGTCTTCATCTGTTTTCAAAGTCACCATTTCCCTCTCAAAGGAGAACAAACGAGCTATCAGAATAGACCTGGGTTAGGATTACAAATAATAGAAATAAAGGCAACCTGCATTCCCTCTAAGCATGAGCATAAGACACCATTCCAGTGTTGTGGGGACAGCAGGAGACAGACATGAGAACAGCACATACAGTGGCTGCAGATTCATCACTCTCCATCTTGCCTTGCGTTCCTAGAATTTGCTTTTTATCACTTTTCATTTTCTGTTCCATTACAACTGGTGAGATGCTTCTTCTTTCTCTCTGAAGGTTTGTATCCTTTCTTTGGTACACCTCAATGATATCATCCCTAATTTAAAGACCTTTTCCTTCTACTTGTGAGATATACAACCATTAGTGTATACATTTTAACTTCTTTGCCACACTCCACAAATTTTATCAATTTTTATCTCAAATATTTTCCAACACGTGGACCATTATGTAGGGATGGCCAAGATTAATTTTGGAAGACTGAAAAGTACAGGTGAATTCACAGATCTGTGAACCATCCACTCTCACAAACAGATGATGCTGTGTTACTGAGAGTTTACCATTTAAACACCCATGTCTGGGTCTGCTGAGGCAGCAGCAGCAGCACAGTGATGTCCGTGTGTGACCTCCTCCCTCCTGGGCTGCGCTGCTCTCCTGCTGTGGGTCTTCTCCAGCTGCTGACTGGAGGAGTGTGACTGGGTTCGTAGAACCCGTGGCTCCTAAAATATTTAATGCCAAGTGCAAATGACACCTGACTCTGCAGCTTTGAGAATACTGAATACTCAGGTTGATGTGCAATAGCCATAGAGCAAGGAAATCTGGGAAATTCTTAGAAAAGCTCCAGAAAAACCAATCATTTTAAACTTTTGTTCTTTTTCAAATATGACATAATATGTATATATATAACAATTTTCTTCTAATATCATTTTAACTATCTGTCAAAAACTTAGTAATGTGTAGTTTATTAATCATTCAGTTCAAGATATTTGCCAATATTGTCTTTCATTTATTACTTTACCCATGTTGTTTATGTGCGTATTTTAAATTTAAGGTGGGTTTCTGTTTACTTTCTGGTTTAATGATTTTCAAGTCAGAGGGTAGGCTGTGTTTCCTTTCCACCCTAACAGACTCACTTAGCTCTCCTTGAGCATATGATACCGTGAAAATGCACATTTTCATGATCCAGACCTGCCACTTAGAGTATACACAGACGGGTGCTGAGCCAGATGTGTAGTAGTGTGAGAAAAGTACATTGGGCATAGCTTATGTGTAAATCAACAACAAACTAAATTAATTGATATATGATACATTTAAATGTCATGTATAATGCAAATATACATTTTACTAGATTCAAGAACATCAGCAAATGTTACATTCATGAGGATATAAAGTTCTAAACTTTGATTGAGTTCTCTCATGGTATTAAAACCCAGGTCGGAAATTGATTTGAGAAAGTGTCAGGTCTACGACTACAGTAAGGCCTAAGGTAACACTGAAAGATGGACAAAGTTCTTTCTCAGTATGGTTGGTGGCTACACAGATATACACTGTGACAATTTAATAAATTGCACACTTATGTTTATTAAATCTACAGCTACTTAATTTTTATGTCTTAGAAATATATTTAGAAACCATATATATTAAACTTTTCATTTGTGAGTTCATCTCAATGGATGCAATACATTACAGAAACAGCAGAAGCAAGGACAAAATCTCCATGATCATCTCATCAGATATGAAAAAAACTTTGGCCAATTCTAGCATCCCTTCACAATACCATCTCTGAAGGTAATAGGTAAGAAAGCACCTTTTCTCAATATTATAAAAGACATTTATGAAAACCAATGCCAACATCGTATGAAATTTGGAAAAGCTGAAAACATTCCTTCTAAAAGTAAGAAGAAGACAATGCTTTCTTTTACCACCACTGTATTTAATATAGTTCTGGAAACATTAGCCAGAGGATTCAGGCAAGAAAAGGAATTATAAAGGATATTATAGGGAAAGAAGAAGTCAAATTATCATTATCTGAAGGTGACATGCTCCTTTACAGAGAAGACCCAAAATTGATCAAAAGACTCCTAGATTTTTAAAGAAATTCAAAAGAGTAGCTGGATACAAACCTTGCAATAAAATCAATTAGACTCTGTCCAGCAATAGTGAACAAACTGACGAACAAATTAAGAAAAGAGTACCATTCACAATAGCACCAAGGAAATGGAATACTTAGAAATTCACATAACCAACAAGGTGAAACACCTGTATGACAAAACTACAGAGCTCCGAAAAGGAGAACAAAGGAGGTATCAGAACTGGAAACACATCTGCTGTTCCTCGACAAGCAGAAGCAATAGAGGGGAAAAAAGCCATATTTCAAAAATTATATAGAGATTTAATGTCAACCCAATCAAACTCCTAATAGGATTCACCAAAGAATTGAAGAAAAAGAAGCCTAAAATACATGTGAGACCAGAAGAGACTGGGATGGCAAAATCAAAGCTGGTTAAAAAGAGCATTGTAGAATGCATCACAGTTCTGGACTTCAAGCTATATTACAAAGCTATTGTGATAAAAAGAGCATGGCATTGGCATAAAAATGAACATGTGAACCAAGAAACAGAATAGAACATACAGAAACAACACCAGTGTGAGGTACTCAACTCGTCTTTTGCTAAGGAGATGAAAACATATGTTGGGAAAAGAAAGTCTCTTTAACAAGAATGTTAGGAAAACAAGCTAACAACATAAACAAAGGCAAGGATTTCATAAGCAGAACCCCAAATATACAACACATAGCATCAAGAATCAACAAATGGAATCATATCAAGTTAAAATTTTCTACACAGGAAAAGAAACAACAAAGAGAAAAGACAGCCTATCAAATGGAAAAAAATATTTGGAAGCTGTTCTTCAGAGAGACAACAAGTGTGCAGCACAAATAAAATACTCAAAGTGGTTAGAGCTCTCAGCATAACAGATCCAATCCAAAAGTGCCCAAATGAAATAAATAAACACTTTTCAAATGAAGAATTACAAGTGGCCAATAAATACATGAAAAAATGTTCACGATCTCTGATCTGTACAGAACTGAAAAGGAAAACAACAGAGTAAAGGTTCACACTGCAGTGACACATTCACACCCGTGTTATAGCAGCACAGCTCTTAACATCAATGTGTTAATAACAGGAATTGTCCATCAGAGAATAACGGATGAATAAATTTTGATGTTCATAACAATGGATTATGAGTCTGTCATAAAGAAGGGCAAACCTGAGTTATTTGTAGGAAAGCGGATGCTCCTTGAGAGTATAATTTTAATTAAATAAGTCAGACCCACAAAATTGAATATCTCATGGTGTGTATAATATGAAAAACCCAAATATAAATAAACAGGAAAATTAAAAGTTAGGTAACAGGAAATAGGCAGACCTTTTATAAAAGGGAAAAGGATCTGGTATGGAGAAAGGAGGGAAGAAATAAGATGTGATATTTACATGTAACACCTCCACAAAGAACAACAAATTATATCTTTCACATACGTACTAATAAAAATTTAATCTTAGTCTAACAAGCACAAATTAATTATATTACAAAAATGAAAACTATATGTAGTTCAACTATGAAGCAAAGATCCTCATTAACCACATGAAGCAGAGCTGAGTCACTAGTTAAGTTCCCCAACCTCTGCCTGAAAGACCAAATTTTAAAACATTCCATTGAATGAAGATTAACTGTCTTAATACTGAGCTTTGTCCTGTTCTGCCCTCTTCCCCTTTTGCAAATGCCTTTTATGGTCTGTTTGTCCTGGCTCACTAGAAAACTCATTAGGTCTTCAATTTGACGTCATCTGTGTCAATCAAAGGATTTGCTATGCAGACAGCATTGATTTTGCCAGCATCTGAAACCGTCTCTTTCTTTTTCTGTCCCAGCATCTGTCCATATAGAAGTTCCTGGCATGAGGTAACACTGGGATGTATTAGAATTTAGAAATAAAACAACTCCATGTGCTGGGGTGTCTGGAATTCACTGAGCCCCATGGGCCCTGTAGTGCTGAAGGATGGACCCATTGAAGGTTCCGTAGCTACAAGTGCTGTGAGGTTGGTGTCTGAAGACTTGAGTCACTGGAGATGCGACCTGGAAGGCTGTATCCTTGTCCCTGGATCTTCCCTTCTCTCTCAGTCTTGGCTGTGGTAGTGTAAACACTTTCCATCCCACCCACTTCCATCATGCCACATCTTCCTTGGAGCCAGTCAGTTATGGACTGAACCCTCTGAATCCTTGTGGGAAAATAATACTGTCCTCCTATGAATTTTAGCTGTCAGAGGTTTTGTCCTGTCCATGCAAACATTCCTGATGCATGCTGAGAAGCAGTGATGCACTGAACTGGGGACACATCTCCTGACCACTGTTGATGTTCTATGTCCCACAGATGCAGTCACACAACTCTGCCCTCCAAGTTCAGTGTCTTCTTTAAAATGTCAAAGAAACTGCTGCCTGAAAAGTGCTGTCAAAACTGTCCCACAGGAAGCTGTTTGTCAAGAACATCTTGGAAGGTGGTAGCATGTGAAGCAGGGTTACTAATTCCAGAGGTCGACTTGGCCCCCTACAATCATACTGTGCAGACTGGGATGAGGTAGGCAGAGAGAAGGATTCAGGAACTGATGTGCAGCCAGGACCTTCTGCTGCCTCAGCTGCCCCAGCTGCCTCCACATCCCTCCTACTGAGCATGAGAGGTGTGTATAGGAACCTTACTTGAGCTGGCTTTCTCCAGTCAGAATTGAAAGGCGTTTGGGGATGCGAAGAATGAGGCCGTGTTCACAGATGCAGACCTGGAGCCCTCAGTCTCTGTCCATGCTGACCCTAGTCCCCTGCAAGGATGTTCCTGGCCAAACATTGCCCAAACTGCATCTCAAGGCTGTCATGTGCATCACAAAATCTACAGTTTTAACTGTCTGATGAACCACATACTTTTCAGAATTCTGGGTAAACTGATCGTCTTTTGTCCTTAACTGTTTAAACAACTGAAGAGAGAAGTCCTTTGTGTCTCCCAGGGAATCTGAACTAGGAAGGATTGAAATATTATGGGAATCATGAAAGTGTGTCTGAAAATCAGACAAGGAATAGGGCCTCAAACTGATAATTCTATACATTGCTATGTCCCAAATCCGCCACTAGATAGCGAGCAAACTTCATAATAAACGAAGCCCAGAGGCTTGAATTATGAAGACTGGAGACACTCAAGAGCCACTGCTCCCTTAGCAACAGGGCGCCCCTAAGAGCATGGAGCTCTCTTTCCAGTCTTAGGGATCACATTTGTGCTGGGACCCCACACGGGGCCACATCTGCCCCATGTGCCATTTTCTGATTATTTTCTATTTCTTTCTGATCTTCAGTAGACACAGCCCATGGACGTGAAACTTCCAAGAGAAGTCAAGAAGCAGAGTCCAAACCCTGGGTCAGTACTGGGCAAGCACATGCTGGAAAAGATGCTGCCGTCCTGAAGGTGCAGCCCCCATGTGCTGTCCGGCTGAAGTGGCCTTGTGGGTTCACAGGAGGTGGAAACAGAGCACCCTGAGGCTCCATTCAGCAAAGAGGAAGACAGTGTGGCGTGTCCCATAGGGAGCGGGGGAGTGAGCAGGGAAACCTGACGTGATGCCAGATCTGTGTCCAGGTTCTGCTCCCAGGGTACATTGCATGTTCCACAGGTGTCGGGGCAGGGCCTGTGCTTCAGGATGCCCAGGCTGTCAGTGGGAAGGAAAGGGGGAAAGGAGAACATTGTGGGTGCTCAGTGCTCATCCTGGAATTTCCAGAAGTGAAAAAGATATGTCAGATATTGATGTAATAAACTATTCATGTATGTCTTTAACACTAGTACTATTATGGGAACATAATAGACTCATAATGTATGCATGCATTTGCCAGTTCTCCTTATCTTTCTAAACAGAACACGGCCTGACTGAGACAGGACTCTGGGAAGGGACGTTTGCTCATCCCCCTCTTCCCTTTATCCCTCAGGACTGTGAGAACAGCTCTGAGAAGAGCTGGACCCAACTCCTTTGTCCTTGGTTCTCAGACACTTTTCCTGGCCTCCAACTCTTGGCCCGATTCAGGGCCTGTTGTATGGAGCAATTTCCTTCTCTGGTCCTCAGCTGCATACTCAGGACAGCAGCTGCTTCCTCCCCAGCCCACAGCTCTCTGCAGGGCAAGCCTGACCTCAGCCCTGCTGTGAAGCCTCTGTTCCCTAACTTCCTGAACTGCACAGGCAGAGATCTGTGCTCCCCCGATCTCATCACCTTATTTCTCCATTTCCGGAAGTCAGCCCTGCACCTGCACAACTACAAATTTGAGTTCTTCTCATCATCAGGGCAAGACTTATTCCAACCTGGCAGATAAATGTTTCCTTCATATCTCTGTAACCCATCAAATAAACGCTTAAAAAGCAACATTAAATTAAGGTACATAGTTTTGAAATGTAAACACAACCACCAACCACTTTTTCTTTGGATTACTGAGCACGAGTCTGTGTCAGTACACGTGGCAGGGACAATCAGCCTCTTCTAGAACAGGAGGTGCAAGGACTGGGAGCCACATGTGATCAGCTGTGAGATAAGTGTAAAGAGGAAGAGGAGAGTGGAGCAGTGTCAGGAAGGATTTTGCTTCCCTGAAAAAGCAAGATGGTGATGAGATTTGCCCGAGTTTCTCCCAGGAATCCTTATTTAATACTTGACACTAAGAGACAGTGAAGCCCTCATGAGGACGCTGGGTGTTGAGCCAAATAAGAAAGTTTCTCTGTGTTGACAGAGGCACACAGAAAAACACCAAAAGGTGGAAATTTCCCTCCTATCATCAAAATGCTACACCAGTTCCAATTTCCCCAACATTCCAATATCTGTTTAGTGGCTGATACAGTGTCCTGTACTTGCCTCAAAATTCTTGTAAATTATTCAGAAAAGATATTTGATAGGAAGAAACTTGGAAGGTCTTTGATGTCATTAAGAATACAGGTAGCATCTTGCACCTGTGTGTGTTTAAGGGACCGGGGCACCAAGAGCTTGAGAACATATCTGCCTGCATGTTACAAAGGCATTTTATACTAGTAAGATCAATGTTTAGAGATGTCAGAACTACTTTAAAGAGTTTTAAAATGCTATTATATTCATTTTTCTTCTTATATTTTAGCCATGACATACTGTACCCTCATGTTTTCTCTAATTTCTCCCAACTCCGAGGGTCACCGCCATAGAATTGTGAATAGAAAACAGGACAGACGCATGTGCAGAATCAGGAAGAGTGCAGGGCATCGCTCGTTACTGTACTGTGTATGGGATTCTGTCTTGTGGCACGTGTCAGAAACACAGACTCTGCAGCAAATCAGATCTAGCCTGGTCTTGCCTGGGAGATGGGTCCCTCAGCCTGTCCTGAACTACTGAGATGAGGCAGCCCTGCAGTTTAGTGCAGCCCCACTCTGACTCTGCTCATTTGCATGTCGAAGCTCACAGCCCTCTGCCCTGAACATTTATGAATCTGCTCACACGCTGTGCAGGAGTCAGTCCCAGTCAGGACACAGCATGGACATGAGGGTCCCCGCTCGGCTCCTGGGGCTGCTGCTGCTCTGGCTCCCAGGTAAGGATGGGTAGCCCTGGGGATTTCCTTAGCCCAGTGGGATCGATAATTTCTGGCCCTTCAGAGAGGTTTTCTTAAAGCCTGATTGATTGCGTGGTCTTTGTGTTTATGTTTCCAGTGTCAGGTGTGCGATGTGACATCCAGGTGACCCAGTCTCCATCCTCGCTGGCTGCCTCTGTAGGAGACACAGTCACCATCAACTGCAGAGCCAGTCAGAACATTTATAATGCTTTAAATTGGTATCAGCAGAAACCAGGGAAAGCTCCCAGGCTCCTGATCTATTTTGCAAGCAATTTGCAGTCTGGGGTCCCATCGAGGTTCAGCGGCAGCGGATATGGGACAGATTTCACTCTCACCATCAGCAGCCTGCAGCCTGAAGATGTTGCAACTTATTACTGTTTACAGTATCAGAGTTCCCCTCCCACAGTGGTACAAGCCATGACACAAACCTCCCAGGAAGCAGAAGTGTGAGGCTGGGCAGCCCCAGCTGCTCCCCCTGACATCTCTAACTGCTGAGGACATTTCCTAGATGCAGCCAGGGTTTGAATATGACTGGACGATTTGGTAGAAGGGGTCAGGGATTCCCTCCTGCAGTGATTATCTTTCCTTCTCCTCAACCGCAGCAGCCCCGAGTATCAAACCCTTTCTTAGTATAAAGGAAAGTGTATGATACCTGAGGATTCTCTGTTGTGACATCGTTTGGAACTCAGTGAGGGAAAGAAAGGCTATTCCAGACACTTCAGCAGGAAATATAACCTGCCTACAGCTTTCACTGTCCTGAGATACTCAGAGCAGCAGATACTAGGAATGGAATGTTCTCTGGTACTGCCCCAGATGGCAGTAGCACATAGAATGAGCCACCTAACTGCGATCTTAAGGCTGTGGATAAAAACCAGCAGTAGTGTTTTGATTCATTTGCTTGAAGCAGCTCTTCCTGTGAGTTTCCACCCCTCACCTCTGATCCTATATCTACCTAGTGATTTCTCTAACCACTGAACCTGCTCAGTCTTTGAAAACTCATACGGTGGCCTCTATGTAGTCAGCTCTACAGCACAGTGGGGAAATAAAAGTAGATATGAGAAATTTCCTTTCAGAATGATGGTGATACTGAGGCTCAATAGCTGACAGCACAGGTTGGTCTATTTTGCCATATCAGATTGTTTACAGTTAGGTAGGGGACCCTCCCCTAATATGCTAGAATATGTGTCCATATATGTGTGAATACCAGATCATATCCTAAAATATTATTAAGTCATGCACTGAACTGAAAATGAGAAAGGATTACATGATGCATATAAAAACTTTCACGAGAAGCTTCGTATCAACTTACACTTGAGAAATCTTTCTTGACAAAACAAAACAGAAGTGGTCTCTCCACATTAGACAGTTTAAAATTTTCAGAACAAAATATTGTTTGATAGCTGTTATAATTGGACTTTTTCCTGGTCCAAGTTTGGCAAACAAGTATTTCCAATAAAATTCCAATCTAAATCATGCCACTGAGCAATGTACTCTCATTAGTTTCAATGATACGATACGTAGAGGTTTCCCTTATGGACAGTTGCTGTGCTGTCTGCTCAGCTTAGCACCTTCTCTGTTTCATCTTGAGGAAAACAGGAGGTTATGAATGAGACAGTGCGGAAAAGATTTCCACTGTGACTCTTGCTCTTCTCCCATAACTTAGTTCTACAGGCCAGCTCAGGAACAAGTATCTAGCCAAGGGCACTGGAATGACATTAATATAATCCCACTCCATTGTGAGAAACATTTAAAGGTACGCAGGAATGCCTAATTCAACAAGGTGGATGCAGTGAGAATAACAGTAACTAAAAGAGAAGAGTGAGGAGTATAATAATTCTCAGACAAATGGCTATGTAGACAGAAAACAAAAATCAATCCACAGAGAACGAGGAGCACTGACAGTAGAAAGGGCAAATCAGCAGATTCGAAAACAGACTGGAGAAGCAAAGTTGGTTTATATACACAAGTAGTTTGAAAAATAAAACATTGGAAATGATGCAGAGCTTCACCATACAAGATGGTAGGAGTTCAACAATGGTTCTTACACTGCGTATTATTATTTTCAGACTAGTCATTCTGATTACCAAATTCAAGTCTACAAAACTGGTGGAGAAAAAAGAAAATTTCAAGCATTGACTGTTCTTCTCAATAAACTACAGACATCAGCAATACACCTATTCCAGCTATCCTTGCCTATACATATAAATTTTTTTTCATTTTAAAAAAATCAAAGTAACAAAAACAAATACATAAACAAAACAGCATAGAGAGCAATAAAAATGATACAGAATTTTAAAACATGATAGGATATCAGCAGTGGGTGCTATACTACACAATGTCATCTTAAAAATGGTTGCACATATAATGAAATATAGGCATACAAGATTGATCAATTTACACAATAACACTTCCTTTCAATACACCAACAGATATTAGTAGTACAAATATCCTGCCTATCCTGTGTACATATACGCATATTTTTTTCCTCTTCTTTCTTTTTCTTCTACCTTCCTTCAATCCAGTTGCTCCTTCCTACTTGAGCAGTTTCTTTTCCTTTCACTATATCCATTGTACCTTTTAGATTTTATTTACTCTTTCAGGTTCTTATAGTAGGGAGGAAATATGATGTTTACACGTTTGAATGTGACATATTTATTAGTATTCCTAATGAGTATGGCCTCTAGTTTATTTTATTATTATTATTATTATTATTGCTATTATTATTATTATTTTACTTGTTACTGTCTTTGATTGTTTGATCAATCTTACATTCTTATGTCTAGTGGACTGAGCATTTTCGCTGAAGATAGCAGTACGTAATGTAGCAACCATTGTAAATTTCTATCATTTTGTTCTGAGGTCATGTATCATTTTTGTTGTTTTTCTGTTTTGATTTTGTCTTCATCATCATTTTGTCAGTTTTTTCATTTTAAAATAAAGAATAGAGTGAAAAATTAAGCTTTCTTTTTTGAAAAGCATTTATATATCATCACTTACATTATAATTACAAATTTTAGGAGAAAACAATCATGTATAAGTCTCCTAGCCTGAAATTACCAGAATATTATTAAACAACATCATTGTGAACAAAAGCAAAAAATACTTTAGTTAAGGAAAGAGAGCATCATATTTATTTCAGTGACTTAAAAATATCACTCATCATCCCTCTTTGAAATGAAAATTCACGAGGGTTTCTCCGTTGTGTAACAGGTGTCCAGGATGTGGGACGACGGCCGCAGGGCTGAGGAGGCTGCAGGGCGAGGACTCGGAGAACCGGGTGCAGGACGGTGGTGCCGGCCCGAGCGCAGCCGCGCTGTGCAGTAGAAGAGAAGAGCGGAAGCAGAGAGAGCCCAGGCACAGGCGCGTCGTGTACGCATGTGACTCACAGGTTCTCTCCTTCCCTTGCTGAGCAGAAGGGAGACTGAGTGAGAAGAGATGAGGGAAGGGGGCTGTGCTGACGCGGTTCTCATTCCGGAGCTTCAGGGCCCAGTGACAGCAGTGCTGAGAACAGCCGGCCCCTCCCTCCTCTGTGCTCCTGGACTCGCACCTAGAACTTCAGCTCCCTGAAGACACCTTGTTTTCAGCATTTCTGCTTAACTGTTCTTTTATCTCTAATTATACAGAAAATTTATAGAGAAAAAAATTACTTTGAGTTTCTAACAAAGTCTAGTGATGGATGAAATTGTATCGGATTTATGAAAATGCATAGAAAAATCACAGTCAAGGCATTGGAACCACAAACTGAAAATTCTGTAAGATGCTATGTTGCAAAGCTGCCAGTAGACGGCAAACACACCCCAGGATAAAGTTAGGACACATTTTAGAAATGGGAAATAGAAGCGACACTTCCTTGATGAAAAGGCAGCTCGAACTTACTAAGCTTCCTTCCCATCTTTCTGACCAGTCTAACTTACCACATAATTAAAGTAACATTAAATTAGAGTGTGTGTTGTGAAAGATCAACACAACAACTATTCCAGTTTTCTCTGGTTTCTTAAGCACCAGCGATAGCTCATGGTGAGTGATAAGGAGAACAAGCCTCTTCCAGAGCCAGGCAGATGCAGGACTGTGAGACAGATGTAGTCAGCTGAGAAGTGAGATTACAGAGGAGAGAGAAGGGCGGTACTGATGATCACCCAGCAGTGGAAGTAATTTATGCCAGTGCAATATATGCATAAAATTATTTAGGTAGCTGGTATTATGATCTATGTGCAGTATAGTCCATAAATTTCACTACAATTAAAAAAATATTTTTAATAGTTTAGCTCAGAATTCATTGTGTTATATTCTATTTATCTGAGCAAATGGGCATAAGAAAATAATCTCTTTGTGATGACATTGCTCACAGCACATTAAGGAACACTTTATCAGGAGTTTTTATGGAGAACTTCCTGAAAACTATATATTAAATTACATTCCAGCTGCCCACAAAGCCATACAATTTATGGCTATTCATATTCTTCATGGTGTAGTGGTCCCACAAGCATAAAGTCAGACATTTGCATAAGGATAGTGAAGCCAAGAGGTCACCTAGAGTTTATCATGTGAAATTACTGCATTTTGAAAATTCAGCACGTGTAAGTGTAGGCGTCTGAGTGCTTCGACTGACCAAATACTCTCAGAGCGATCTTCTGGCATTTTTCTCCACAAATCTCAGTTTATGGGTTAGAAAGAACTATCTGTGCATAAGATCTGTTGCATTTATTGAAAACGCTGTGATTTCTCATTACTTTTGCCTCTCCCACCATCTGTGCTACTGAGGTTTACCTGTGAAGGTCAACATGGGACAACTTTCTCCAGAAACTTTCACGTCTAGAAATATGAGGGAGTGTGTGAAATGGAATAAACTGTGGGTATTGTGCCGATCAGTTTTCACCTCCTCTTCTGCATTCCTGTTTCCGATTTGCCTTTAGGAAATAAAAAGCAACCTTAATATTAAGACCTTGCTTTGCACGCTTTATCTCGTTACAAATCTTAAGTAGTTTTCCCCAAAGTCACCTTGTTATGGCATCCAAAGTAGGATGGATAAAAGAGTAAAGATTCCCTGCCTTTGTTCCAAATAAAATCAGTAATGATATTACCTATATTTTGAAACATTTTTTTTAGCTTGTGCTTATGCTTTTGGTGTGTTATTTCTGAAAATGTCACCTCATCCTAACACAGTGAACTAGGCAGATTCACATTATTGTCATGAAGTCAGCTTCAGCCAGGAGGTTTTGTTTTCTAATTTTGGAATGTAGACCAGAACTTCCCTGTCCTGTATCCTCCATCTCAGAATGAGCTGATTTATGGAGTACAATAATAATAAATAATAAATGATTAAAAATCCATTGTTACTGCCACGACTGATTCCCCATGTATCCTCTAGCATTATCTGGAATATCCTGACTTGATAAACTGGTTAGAATAGGAACTTCTCCAGCCCTGAATGTGTCCTGGAGGTCACGAAT